ATATTCACTCAAATATAAAGTTGCATCATAAAGTGGCCAAAATCTGATCAGCTCATTTTCAGACAGGTTTTTCTAAAAATGGATCAGGACAAAAAGTGAGCAAATCTTTTTTCCTGAAACTTCCAGAATCTCTTTACGCAGAGGGGACACATGTTTATGTATAAAAGACATGAACAAGTGGATTTTGAATAATAGGGGACCTTTAAAACGACAACACACATTTAGAGAGACACAACCCAAATATCGACTCTCTTCCTATATTTTAATCTGTGTGTCATACCAAGTATTCTATGACAAAACGTATCACACACACGCCATGTTCTTTACTGTTTCCCACAGACCATATCTCAGCACCCTCTTTGCAAACACTTCACAACCCTTGAAGTTGACTTGCCAAACACTAGCAGAGCGTGACACTTGTTCCACAAAATGGAACAGTAACAGAAACATTCCCCCACTTATTCCGAAGGCGCCGCTTCATGCTCGGGGAGGCCACCCACGACCCGACTCAAATGCAAATGAGCAAAGCTTCACTATGAAATGTGTCAGCCCATCAAAGTGAACCGTATCAGTCGCTGTCTAACGAGTGTCGCAGAAACATATTTAAGAAAGTTGGGTGGTGACGCCGAGAGGCTGCTGTCTCATTTTCGAGGAGGAGGAGGAGATGAAAAGGACGAGGTGTTGACAGACACTGTCAGCTTTTTGTTGAGTGTGCAGAGACAGAAGGGAAAGCTCAGAGGACATTTGTCATGGTCTTTATACTTTACTTTGTATGCTGTTGCTTTAAGTTTTCTGTATTGTTAAACACCAAATGCTCAAGATGAGCTTTTCTGCATTACACTCATTGTTAGCAAAAGCTTTGGAACTGTTACTTGGCCTCAAAATGCAGATGTTTGCTGTCAGAGGAGCTGCATACAAAATGGAATTGAAGTTTCCATTAGAAAATAAATACTTGAACATGACCTCTGCAATGTTTGGATTATTTTAAGGACACTCAAGTTGTTCTCTCTCCCAAAAAGTTTCCCCTAACAGATAGCTCTCCTCCTACTCATTCATTAAAAATTCATCCCTGCATCCCTTTTTCTAATTACAATGCATCAGCACCATTTAACAAGCAGGTAGCTCAGCTTATCCTTGACCCACATATTTGTATAGCCTTCACCCCTCCCCTGCTTTTGATATAAAGCTATATATAGACCAACTTTATGACGCTGATCTTATTATATTATGAAATCAGTGTGCTAAGTTTATGGTGCCTGCGTTTTTTCCATCGAGTAATAACTGCGGAGAACACGATGCAGGACAGGAGTGGAGGTTTACTGTAAGTAGAAGGTAAGGTGAGTAGGGAATTAGAATTAAAAAGGCTGCATAGGGAAGATGAGAAAAGTTGAGCAATTGTTGGAAGGGAAGGGAGAGATAAAAACAAATTTTTAAAAAGTGATATAGAGAGAGAAGGATAAGAAAAGCATGGAGGACAGTTTTATTTGAAGACAGAAGACGAGGTCAGAGCATCTGCCCCACTGCCTGAGCTCGACTAGAAATCAAAGTCATATAAACTCTCCTGACAAGGACGTCCTGTACTGTCCTGTAACACCAACACACTGTCAGATAGTTGATAGTTCACACAGGCACACACACAGGAACACACACAGGAACACACACACACACACACACACACACACACACACACACACACACACACACACACACACACACACACACACAAAGCTGATGCAATTGCAGCATTTCCACTATTGACATACAACATGTTTTATCAACATATGTTACATGTTAAATAATCTCATAGCCACTACCTAAGTTGTTTATGTCATGCCATGGGATTGCATTTTCTGGGAATGGATCTGGCGTCTTGTTAATAAGTCAGTTTTTTAACACCAACACAAACTTTAGCCAGAAAGGTTACTGTCCAAGAATCATTAATGCATAAGCTAAGGAAAAAGAGGAACAAAGGCAGAAAGTCAAAGACGAATACGGTCTCGGAGGGTAAGGGACGGGTTGTTAAGAAATCCAAGAAGATGAGAGAAGCCAAGCATGTCCAAGAAGAGCAGTCATTTGTATCCACTCCCTGAGAGATGTTGTCAGATGTATTGATTAGATCTCAGCCCAAAGTAAAAGGTGAAAAACTGCATATTAAATTCTAGAAAACTAATTTGTCTGTGAGGTAAGCTCATGCTGTTTATTTTTTGTTTGAGTCAGCTGGAACTAAAAGCTTGGTAATACTCCTCACTGTTAAAAAAAAAAAGTCCCAGCTCTGAGGTTATTAAGAGCATGGTTCTCATGCTGGCTGTATTTACCAGTGAGTTCTCAGCAGTGACAAAACAGAGGGAGACGACCTGCGACGAATCTCTTGTTCTCCCTCAGCAGTGACAAGGCCCTGCAGGTTAGGCTCTGTTCGAAGAATGCTAATGCAACATATCATTTGATGGTGGACTTAATTCATTCAAAGATCCTGTCGAGTAAGACTGGGATCTGCGACAGATGATGACAAGTGCAAAGTCAACTCAAGTGCCTAATCACATAACCATAGGGATTTGAGAAGCCATCACCTTTGGCCCATACTGTATATGGGTTGTCTTCTTGGGAAAGATTTGCCATTTTTATGGTGCACGTGTGTTTCTAATGTGAGAATATGTTTCTCTGAACTCTGGACCTTGGATCTTGACGTATTTGCATCTGTAAACTGCCTTACTTCTGGATAATGAGGGGCAGTAGATCACTTGGAGCCAATGGTGAATGACATAAGGGTCAAATTCGAAGATCCCACTGCTACTGCTGACGGTTTCTGAGTCGAGGGAACAGACTCTGGATTGAAGCCATCTCCAGCAGCTGTTTAAACTTAAAGTGTGAACTCTTGATGGAAAATCTTGATCTGTGGCTGAGTTGGCAGGTTTTTCGTCAATATTTAGGTCAATATATTATGAAATCCAATAACACCACAAACTGCGGTGTACAACAGGACTATAGACTCTGACACAGTCTGGTTTATTGCAGGACTGTTGTTGTGGATCACTAGTTGCACATTTCATTTAGCTGAAGCTTTTATCCAAAGCGACTTACAATAAGTGCATTCGACCAAGAAGATACAAACTTGAAGAAAACAGAATCATATAAGTACATTAGATTTCAAAGAGCCAAACCATTTAAAGTGCTACTCAACTGGCTTTAGATAAGCCAGTCCTTTGTTAGTATGTAAGTGCTTTGTTAGTATATAATAGGGGTGTAACGGTTCACAAACATTTCGGTTCGGTACGTACCTCGATTTTTAGATCACGGTTCGGTTCGGTACGTTTTCGGTACAGCAGAAAAAATTATCACAAAACATAAAATATATATATACATATTTTTATTATTATTAAACTGTGAATAATGTATGCACTCAAATAAATACAAAATATAATAAAATAAACATTAAGGTGCAGCATTTCGATGAACTGAAATAATCTATATTTGAACGTTACTGTACTAAGCAGCCAGTTTGACATTATGAATTGCTTGTCATTGTATTTTCATGTTTTTTTAAGAAAAATGAACTTGTCCACATTGCTTGCCGAAAGGGCAGATCTGCTGGCACTAACAATGTCTCCTGCTGTGGAGGACACCCTCTCGCTAGGGACAGAGGTAGCAGATACAGCCAGGTAGCGCTTTGCTAACATTGCAACATAAGGATATTTGGCGTTTGCAATAGCTTTGATAGCTTTAATAATAGTAATAATAATAATTAATAATAGCTTTAAATAGCTTTAATAACGTTTTGCGAGTGGTGGAGGCTTAAATGCTAGTGGGAGTTGGGTTTGCACTTCAGTCTTTTTTCTTTTGGTACCGGTGATATTCACGTTCGGGTGATGCCTTTTCAAATGAGTGTGCAAGTTTGATGTATTGCCAGCCGCGTAACCAATGTTAGTTGAACAATGCCGACAAACAGCTTTGGTTCGGTCCACCTGTCTTTGTCCGTCATCCTTGTACGTAACTACGAAACCAAAATGTTCCCAAACCGGAGACTTCAATGATGCTGGAGGATTTTCGAGCTCAACTTTATCTGCGTTCGCCATTTCGACAGTTCCTTTTTTTTTAA